CTCCCTGTAAACTGCTTCTACAATGCCCAAATCATAAAGAGGATTTCTTTTGGATTTTTTTAAATTTGTAATATTGGTGATATAAACCCAAAGCACAACAATGTAAGGGGGATGCTCTATTTTTCTGAAGTAATAAAAAAATAGTTATATATATATATATTGAAATAACTTTACAAACTAAAAAAAGAAGAAAATAAAGTAAGCTTTTACCTTTCGGTCGGAGCCTCGCATGCGATAGGAACCCCTTCTTTCCAATCCGAACGGTGAAAAGGTGTAAGGTATCCCCAGAAGCAACATATCGAAAAACTAGGTCGATCCAACGGTAGACGGAGGAGATCGAAGCTTTGAAAGGTCGCCGACCATTTTTACAACAATATACTCCAAACATCACAAAACGGTGGTCGGATCTCCAACCACTATGATGAAACGAATGAACCCCAAAAGTTTGGTGGCCGACGATGACCGACGCGGCTATCAGCAATGACGCTCATCGCCGGTTTCTAAAGAAGTGAAGAGAGAAGGGGGAGGATTGAGGAAGAAGATAGAGAGTGAAAAAGAGAAAATGAAAGAAAAAAAAGGTATTTATAAAAGAATTAAAATGATGTCGTTTTGGCGTTTGCCCAAACTCCTGTGAAACGACGTAGTTTTGGCACCAAGTGGTGCATTTAGGGCTTCTAGGGTCAAATCACGCACGTAGTCACTCCAATTCTCTCCCGTGTTCATTTTGGTCCCCAATTTCAACTTATTTCACTTATTTTCAAATATTTTATCCTTTTTTGTTATTTTTACCATTTTTAACGTTTTAATACTAACATTTTAGCTTATTTTCGTATAGGTCCCCCAAGGTTTACCATGTTTTTACATTTAGTTCACTGGACCTCTCTTTTCTAATTTATTATAGTTTTATCATTCTATTTTATTTTAATTTAGTCACTATTATTATTCTGATTTATTTTAAAATAGTCATTGGTTTTAATGTTTATTCATTTTAGTCGTTGTTTGGATTATATTTCTTATTTTATTATGATTTGGATGTGATATTTGCAATTTATTCATTTTAGTCACTTTTTATTTTTGATTTGGCTACTATTTTTTTGTTTTATTACATTTTGGTCCCTTATTTTTAACAATTTAATTTCAGTCCTTTAATTATTTTACTCTAGTTTTTGTTTATTTTATTTTAGTCCCATGAATATATATATATATATATATATATATATATATGCATTTTTCATATTTTTATCACATTGCATGTCTTATTTTGCTATCTTGCTTTGTGGTCCTTATGCTATTTATGATTTTATTTTATTTAAGCACTTATATTTGTGTGATATTTATTCTTGGTTTTGCTTTTATCGTGTTTATATTTTTACCACTAAAGTTTAAATTTTTATTATCTAACATGATTAATTAAATTTGTCAAAATATTTGTTCACTTTGTCTAATATATTTAAGCTCTAAAATATGTTTATCCATGCATACTTTAGTTATATTCATTTTGGTCAAATCAAATTATTTTAATATCGAGTTCTTGGGAGAAATTATTATATTCTTGTATTTCACTTAGAAAGAGAAATATTCGTACTAAAGTATTTTAGGGATTATTTTCTCTTCGATTGGAAATATTAGAATATTTTCTATTTCTCCATAGAATTTCTCGTTAATAAAAAACTATATGGTTTAATTTGGAATAATAGAATCATAACTTAAATTTATATTCAAATTCTTAGATTTCAACTATTAGATCAATTTATAATCGACGGGGTACCAATTTTGGGCGTTGTGGGAGTGATTATCCTTCCCCACGTGTAATCGACCCCCAAATCCCTTTATTATTATTATTAAAAAAGAATGAATTTCTGGTTACACGTAGACTGGTGCATATTTTAAAATGGTGTTTTCTTAAAAACTCTTTTGAAAGACGGTTTATGGGTATTCAACCTACCTAACCCAAAAGGTTGATGGTGACTCCTCACATTACAAAACCTTTTCAAAGAAAACCCCCTAAGTCGTACTAAGGTTTTCCCCACCCGGACGAAAAATGGTGTCGACAATCTTCTCTCAAATTAATATCTTAAGAATTTTGGTTTTCAAATTGATACGGGAACTAGACACTTTCTTTTAAGTTAGTAACTAAAAAAATATTTTCTCTCATATTGATAACCAAATTTTAATTTTATTAATTATTTTGGTACTTTTAAATGCACACATAATGTATCATCATTGACACATAATATAATATTTTGTTGTCATGTTATCAGAAGCTAATATTCTAAATAAAAGTATCAAAATATTTGATATAATTAAAGTTTAGGTACCAACACCCAAAAAAATGGTATCAACTTGAGAGAAGATACTTGATTCAATTATTAACCAGAAAGTTAAAAAAAAAACTTTAAATGCTAACTTTAGAGTGAGTGCGTTAAAGTAAAAAATGTGAAGATAATCACAAGAAAAAAATGATGAGTTAATCTTAGTATTTGATTTTCCTCATCCAACGATCATAAAGGTGTAAAATTAAAATTTTTATACTAGGTGTATGTGGATCTTAACCTTATACATGGGGGTAGGACCTGCTTACACTATGTAAAACTAATAAGTTTTACAATAATTTATAGCCATTATATTTAAATAAATAAATGACGTAGATTTAATTAAAATTTATAACTCATAAGTAAATATCTTTTAACTTACATTAAAACAATATCTTTTTAGCTCGGTCTTAAATCTCAAACCCCAAAATTCAAAACCCCAAAACTCTTACCTCAAATCCCAAAACTTAAACCTCAAACTTTAAATTATAAACTATAAACCCTAAATCTTAAGTTTTAAACCCTAAGACCTACTCCTTAACCCTAAAAAAGAAAAAAATATTATTTTACTATTAGTTAAAGAAATATTTATTTATGAGTTATACATTTTTATTAAATCTAATCCATTTATTTATTTAAATTTAATGGCTATAAATTAGTGTAAATTTTATTAGTTTTACATAGTGTAAGTGGATCATAACTCATATATATAATTTAGTTATACCTAGTGTAATTTTTTTTATTTTACACAATTTTAGGATCATTAGAGATGACTGGAATGATCTCCTTATTTTTTTTAAGTGAATATATTTTTATTTTCAATTGTTAATCTCAGTCATCTATTTTCACTCATTCAACAATCATAAAAATGTGCAAAACTAAAAAAAAAACTTTACACAATGTAAACGGATCGTGCCTCGTATAGACACACATAAATATATCAAAATTTTCACAATTTCATTATAATCTTTTTTTAAAATTCTCATTTTATTAGTTTTAAGATAAAAACTTAATATAAAAATAAGTGTACAAACTATTTTGTTTTTTCTATTTAAGTGTCTAAACTATTTTTTGATCAATCAAAGTATCTAACGTTTTCAACATTATACTTTTATGTGCATGGATAGTCATCGTAGTTAATAAATTTTGTTAAGTGACACATGTCACATTCTTGTAATTTTAAAAATTTATTTAAAAAACTTAAAAATATTATTATATTTAAAAAACCCAAAATTTTTCTATTGTACACATAATGCCCCACATTTCATAAAACCCTAATTCCCAAATCTCACAACCTTAATTTCCTATTTGGCCGACGACAAAGGGGTGACTGAAAGTGAAGTCTAACTATTGATGGATGGTTTCGACGACAACACAATGGTGACCGGTGATTGGTTCTACGACGATGCAAATTTGAGAAAGAAAAGGAGAGAGACGCAAAGGAGAATAAGATGAATTGACTAAGAGTGGTGCAACAATGGTGATTGAAGCACTGTTGAGGCTTGTCTACATCACAGTCGACAAAGATGTCATTTTCCCATCGTCGTCAGATTTGTTGGGAATGACTTCGATCAACCGAATATTAATATAGGGGTGGAATTAGAGATTTAAGGATTTTGGGTTTTTTTTTGGTATTTTATAAAAAAGGGATTTTTAATTTTTAATTTTTTAAAAATAAAATTACCAAAATATGATATGTGACACTTAATATATCTTTTTAACGGCTACTACGATCATGACACTTAAAATGGTCATATTTGTAACGTTAGACACTCACTTGAATTTATTGAAAAATAGTTTCAACACCTAAAAAAGAAAAGATATAGTTTATAAACTTATTTTTATATTAAATCTAAGATTAAAAAGTAAAATTTAGAAGAAAAAAAGCAAAGAGAAAATAAAGGGTTAGAAATGTTGTTTAATATAAAAAATTAAATTATTTTCGATTAATTTTCTTTTATATTTTACAAGTTCAATTTATTAAAATTATCCACTACAAAAGCCATCTAGTACCTATTCTTTTTCACCATAAAACCTAATATCAAAACCAATGCAACATAATTTTAAAGCATTCAAGGTATTGTTCTTGCGATCATATTGTGTGCACTATGTATATGTATATGTATATGTATATATAGAAGTATGAACAGTTTGTGATATTTCAATATTGTTTCAAAAAATTCATTCAATATCAAATATATATTTCAATCACTCCAACATCCAACAGCATAGCATTCAAATATACGAAATATATGAAAACCCAAAAACTATGAAAATCAAACACAAACCCTAAGAAAACTTACATTCTGGATGGAACATAAGTTAAACACAAACATATAGTATGCCTCATCCAATTGGCCCTTAAATGTTATTATTACACATATAGTATTTGAATTTGTTGTCATTTAGAAGGAAAATTATGTTCCTTATCTGGTTGGCTATGAAAGAAACCTAGGAGAAATCAATTGGAAAGGTGTAATAGATTGGGTTACCGATGAAAACGGTGGAAAGTTGAGAGAATTAAGTAAGAGGCTTTGTTGTTGTGCACCTGAGCTCAGCATCTGAAAATGGTTTATTTGTTGTCTAGGATCCACCGGATGAGGCGGGAACGAAGGCAGCGCTCCCCCTCCTAGCGGCGGTGGACAAAGAGATAATGCGGATGGCAATGGCGGCACCACAGCATTGAAATTATGTGCTTCTTCTGAATGGGGTGCATGTACTATGAATCCATGACTTCCTAAATGTGATGATGATGATGAAGGAAAACTCGAAGGCTCCAAATGGTAATGAATGAGACGATGGTTCGGCATTGTTTAAAGTTTGTGCACCATGATCATCTTCATTTGGTCTACATTTTTCTCGTTTATCACCAATTGCAACCCTAGAGATTTCTTTCGGTTTAGCCCTCGAAAAGGCTTCAGAATTCAGAAAACAGGCCGGCGGCAGCACCGGCAAGGGTGGGAGTTCGTCGATATCGTTCTTAGCAGCATCAAGCAACCAATCAACGACCTTGCTAGGTTGATTAAGTCCAAGCCTGTCTTGAAGACCATACAATTGAATTGCAGTGGGAACCGACAGCCTTACCCTTCGGTCTCTCAATCCTCGTAAGGTGTAAACTTTGCTGTGCCTGTCTTTTCCTCCAAAAGCACGCGAAACACGTACGATCCTCGGATCTTTCAATCTCAACCATGGCGACCGCGGCGCTGACGAACTCGATGGAGCTTTGTTGATCATCTTGCTTTCATTCCTGTTGTTGTCGTTGTCGTGTCTTGTCGGAGAATCTGCGTTTTCTGAACTCGAAATCATCTTATGCCTCTCATCATTGAACCATCGGAAAGCTGAAAAACAAGGTGAATTCAATCCTTTTTTTTTGCAAAAAGCTTCGAAATTTTATGAAACATAAAGAACAACAAACACATAAAGTTCATAAATTAATAATGAAAGTAAACAAATCCCATTTTTTTCCTGGAAAAACTAAGGAAGTTTGTAAAGAAAAAATTGTTGAACTAACTACATATGCGTCAAACTTGAGAAGAAGAACAAACCCTAGATTTCATGCCCTTTTTATCAGATAGAAAGCTATGAAGATGTAAGACAGATCTCAGTAATACTTAAAAAAATATATGGGTCATTTTTTTTTATACAGAAAATGCAGAAGAAGACCAGATTCTTTGAAATAATCAAAGTTTCAAGCAAAGAAAAAATCATAGTCCATTTAAACTTACAAAAAAAATCAAACACTTGAATGAAAGCACCTTTAAACTTTTGTTATGGACTCACCCAGACCAATCTGCAGATATGTATATACATATATGTTTATATTGAGAGATTACAATTTTTTGTTTTAATTGTGAGAAAGATAGAACTTACTGTTGAAGTTCATCTATTTGTGAAAAGAAATATGCTGGAATTGTACCAGCCATAGTCCATTGAAGAATTGAAGAGGGAAAAGGAAAATAAAGAAAAGCAATGGTAGTAGGGCTTCCACGTGGTCCATATCATCAACTGAAAATTATAAAACAAACATAATAGATAAAAGATAAAAAATAAAAAAGAAGTGATTAGTTCTACTATCATTTATGTCGAGGTATACTTGATCTTGATATTAGTAACGGAGGTAATGTCAGGGTCATTTCATTTTCATGAGATTATCTTGACAGTAACTCAATGGTGGCCGAGTAAAAATATGATTTTATGTTAGAGAATAAAATTTATTAAAAAAATATATAAAATGAGTAAATTTATAAATTAAGGTTGAAAACAATTGTTTTCTAGGTACTATTTTTCTCTTTTAGTTGTTTAGACTTGAGCTTTGCCTCGAACTCGAATATAAAGGGTTTTTTTATTGAGGCATTCTCTTCTTAAAACAAATAATATAATCTAAAAATCATATAAAATGTATGAGAATGAAGTCCGTTTGATTGTAGAAAATATAAGTTATTTTCATTTTTATTTTCCTAAAACATAGAAAATAGTGAAGAAAAGATGTTTAGTTATAAAATTAGAAAACAATTCTAAAAATTGAAAACAAAATAAGTGAAAATATGAAAACATAAAAAATATGTTTTCAGTATTCTCATCAAATTTGTTTTGAAAATTTGAAAAATAAAGAAACGTGAAATCTAGATTTTTAACTTAACTTATACACATTTAAATCATTATAACAATAACTTTTTTTATTTATATTAACGAAACATGTGACCCGAACCCGACCCGATCCAAACATATTGGATCCATTCTAAATTTTATGAAAATAAAAATAGAAAATATTGTCTAGAACCAAACATATTCTAAATTTTTTCAAGGGGCAATTGTCCCACCCAATCCTTGGATCCATCTAGGGATGGGCATGTGACCTGAACCCGACCCGACCCGACCCAATCGAATCGTTTTTTTTAAAATTGGGTTCTGGTCAGTTCGGGTCGGATTTTTTTAAAGGTGATATTCGGGTCGGGTCGAATTCAGATTTAGGGTGAAAAATGTCTGACTCGACCCAACCTAAAAAAATATAATTTTACATTATATATTTAGGAATAATTACAATAATACCCATCTATATATTATTTTTTCAATTAAATCACTAATTTTATTTAATAAAAATAATATTTTTATTATTTCGAGTCGGGTCGGATCGAGTTCGGATTTTATCTCAAAAAATCGGATTGGGTTCGGATCAGGTGGATGATATATATATTTTGGGTCGGGTTAGGTCGGGTTGGCCAAAACCCGACCCATGCCCATCCCTAGATCCATCCCTGCTTGCTCCCTTTGGAACCACTCCTGCATATAAATATACTTTAATTTCATACTCACTTGGATGGCATGCAGTTTTCTATTTCTTTATTTTTTTTTAACAAATTCTAAATCTATTCCTCTTACTCAGAGTGGAGGAGAATGAGAGACTTTAAACTAAAAAAGGAAAGTGCTCCTAATGAATCTAAAATCTATAACTTAAGAAAATATGAGAGAACAAATATGAGCAGTTTAATCCAAATTTGCTTAACCCAAATTTACGTGTTCCAATCTTTCATTTCTTAATGGAAAAACAAAGTATAAAATGTCATTCATGTTCACCCGAGTTTGGGTACGATGTGATCCCTCTCTTCTTGACACAAAAACAATGGGGGACCATGCATGGCTGCACCATATTTCAAAAAGTGAAGAGGCATGCTTTATCGACAACTACAAAAGGCCTCTGTGAGGCGAATCCCTATCACATGGGGTTGATCAATGCACGCCTAATACTAGTACACAACATGTTCCTAACAACAAGTGGTATGCGCACCGATATTGTACATTACATTCTCAAAGAGAGTATTCAAATTCGAATCTCGAACAAATTTTAGTAGAAGGGATAGCCACAAACCCTGAACATAGGAATGATATTCTTGTAACACGATTTTTCGTTAGATTTGTTGTTTTGTTCCAACTATCCAATCTAAACTGATTGTCAATAAGAATATTCATGATCACAACTTAACTCAGAGGTATGGATTTTTTAAATTACGGTTGCAGTCACGTATTTGGTTGTGTTGTGTTTATTACAATTGCAGACATAATAAATGTTATTGTCGTAATTGACCGCTATCCATTAAATTACAGCTTTGATCAACTGATATTGGTGTGATTTCGCTTTATACCGCTATTTTTCGCGATTGCAGTTTCAACCGCTATCGCTATACAACGGTTACTATTCTACTACTCGACTATTATTTGAATCCCTGCATAGAGGGGATAACATCAGCCGGAGAGGATAAGAGTAAACAATCTAGGAAAGATAAGTGTGTGTTGGGGGCGGGGGTTGTGAATTTGATAGTTACTCGAGCCATTAACACACAACCTTATAGGGTTGGGACCAATCTCTATATCTGCTTTAGAAACATCATGTAGTGATTGAAAAGAGGACCACATAAGACCCAGCTTTATGTGAGGAAAGAATATGCATGGATAGAGGACAAGTTTAAGTGTCTTTAAACCTAACAGTTGGGAAAAAGAAATATATCAAATCTTCAGTCTCTCTATTCATTGAAATATGCAACTTCGTTTGCTCATCTTGGATCATAACAAGCTGTTAGCTTTTTCTATATGCATAAGTTTCTCCTACTTTTTGATCTGATAAAATATGGGTAATGCAGTCCTCCCAGAGAAGCAAAACTAGAAACCCTAGATAGGGCTAGAAAGGAATCAAAGCACTTCAAATGAAAACAAGGAAATTTACCTGCGATAATACAAGTTATGACATACATTTTTCCCCTAGAAAACAAAACAATCTGCATAATTACTGGTTTAAACATGAACATGAAAAAGTCGCTTGATCATGAAGTTTTAAAGTGTTTTTAAACTGTGTGGGCCTGCGTGTGTGCTTATATATATATATATATATCAGAAGAGATGATTATCTGGGTTTTTTTTTTAAGTTTTCCCTTGATGAGTTGTTTGTTTGGCAGGGGAGAAAATAGGAAAAGAAACTTTTTTTCTTTTTAGGGTTGAGAGTATTTGTTTTTATTTGAAGTGTTGCAACAAGCAGTGTGGGCACCTCAAGATGAACAGTGAAAAGGTTTCTTCACAAACTGCACAGTTTCTGATTATCCTCATACAAAGCAAAGGTACCATTATTGTCACATAAATGGTCCCCAAACTCCACACACTGTACAATTTAAAATATGCAGTAATAACGGTGAATCTATAAAATTAAGAATGAAGTCTAAAATTTTAATATTCTTTTCTTAAAAGCAATAGGTATGCAAAAATATTTATTTTTTCCCATTTTTCCTTAATATCTTAAACTAAATTTCACTTTTTTTCCTTAAATAATGGGATGCACTTGGTCCCTAAGGGACTTAGTGTACCCATCCCTGTGCACGAACTACGCGACCTCGATAGTAAATGAATTGTTGTTTTTTTTTTTTAAAATCTCGGGTTCAAACATAAAAAATGCCACATGCGTGAGGTTTTCTTTCTAAGCTTGATGGAAATAATATGCTTTTGGTGTTCTGTTCCAGGTTACTTCTAGCCACTCATGTAATTGCTGTGCTGATAGGTTTTGTTTGTTTTGGGCATTTCAGTGAAGTGGAGAGTGGTGTTTGTTTTGTTTGGATATTGGTTTGCATCTTGGTGGAGGCTTCCGATCTTAAAGAGTATTGTTCATTGGGGAGTGGCCAGCTTAGTTGGGCGTATTTTTTCGATGTAGTTCCTTGGTATTCCAGCTTTTGATTTTGTTCTCATGGCAGTGGTTAGATTAGTTGGGTGATATATTTTCGATGTCTTTCCTCGTTGGTTCGGGTAGAATGTATTCTTTTTCTCTTTCTAAGATTGAGGAGGTTTTTAATGAAGAATTGTACTTGGTCTTTGATAGTTTAATTTTATGATGAAAATCTTATTTGCCAAGGAAAAAAAACTACTGCACTTACCCAGATTAATAAAAAATACAATATAAAATATAGGGTAAAGTACGCAAATAATCCCTTGACTATAAGGTATTACTTTGTTGAGTCTTCTTACTACTGAAAAGTACGATATGGTCCCTTCACTATAAGGCATTATTTTATTGAGCCCTTTGACTATTAAAAATTATAAATGGCCACCCCAACTATCCATATGTTCCAAGCTTATCCTTTTTCATTAAAGTTTCGATGACAATATGAATTGTACGTTAACATGTTAATTGAGATATGATAGTCGTTTGAGATTTTAGGATCAAATTTTATCATATCACAATCAGTATTTAACGTCCTGCTCAGATTGCCATCAATTTTATAACAGAAAATGACGAGTTCGGAACATATAAATAATCAGGTGATCATTTTGTAACTTTTAATAGTTGGGGACTCAACAAATCAATGACAAATAGTCAATGGACCAATTTTGTAACTTTTAATAATTGAGGGACTCACAAAATAACACCCTATAGTCCGGGGACCATTTATGTACTTTAACCTAAAATAATAAGCCCAACCTTTCCGATCTAAATCCCATGAAATTTTTTGATAATTTCTTTATCTTTACAACGAAAAGTTCCTGGAGTGATTTACTTATCCAATTGTGCTGTGTTATATCATTTTTTTTTGTAGAGTTGATGTGAGAAGTTAATTGGGTACTAGTTCAATGGATAAATAATTAAAATATTTTTTTTTAAAATAATAATTAATATTATTATATAATTAATTTTTTATCTTTCGTACTTTTATATGAAATAAAATAATTAAAAATATACAAAATCTTTTAACATGTAATCAATAGATCTAACGTTTGAATCTTCGTAAATTATTTATGATTATTTTGTGAAAAAAATAATTAATCAATAATTAATTACTAGTTAATCTGTTATTTTTTTTGCCTTTTCTATGCTGGCTTTGTTTTCTTTTCGGTGTACTTAGAGAGTTTTTGTGTTTAATTCATGGCTGTTCATTTCTGGAGGGTTGGGGGAAGAGTACTTGGATGTTTTTTCAATGTTTTACTGATTGTACTACCTGTTTTGTTATCTTTGAGTCTGGAATGGAACA